TAAAAGAAAGTTGCTCCACGTTTGATCTTGTTCATTGCAGGTTTGAACGTTGGGATAATTATATTGCAAAATGTGGTTCTATGGTAAGACATGTGTATGGTGGGGAAAGTTAACACATAATCAAATGAGATTTTACGGTCTGAATCACTAATCAGTACAAATGCAAGCTGATTAATGAGACTTTTAATAAAAAGATGTGCAGATTATTTCAATTTTTTTCATGCATTCTCAGTGAAATGGTTTGTGTTCATCAGGTCATTGTGTTTGTTTTATAGTAAAGTCTTAAAGTAAGCTTCATGTGTGTGCACTGCAGGCTCACATCTCGTAGATGAAGAGGTCTGGTTTCCACAGCAGGTTCTCAGGAATTGCAATCTGAGTGATTCCACAAAACTGAGCCGGATCCCAAGAGATGCGTTCGTTCTTCCACTGCTGCAGTAAAAACACGAAAGTGACTGAAAATATGACAACAGATGTGAAGCGGCTACTCGGTCGTACCTTAAAAAAATGCCATGAAAAAGAACAAGGTAAAATTGACGGAGGCAGCTCACCGTTGTAACCCAGATGAAAGGAACAAACGTTTGAGTTTTCTCCACCTGAGAATAAGAAGAAGCACGTCACACACCCTGATCACATTTTTCTGATTAAATAAGCCTCTGTGATTTGACGCAGCACCAACCACTGCCAGGATGGCAAACAGGATAATGTCCAACTCCACCACCGTGGTGTGAGTGTGGTCCAGAACGGGCCGGGTCACTTTATACACACTGTTATCTACGGTCAGGTTCAGGTAATCCAGAACATCCTGGTAACTGCAAACATTACCCGACACCCTGTCTACAGAAAACAACAATTAAAGTGTCATATTTTAAACACAGCTGCAATATATTCTTCCTCTGACTTGATGTCATGTAATACGAATGAACATATTTATTTGTTTATTTTTTTTAAATTCAAACTAAAAATAAATGCAGCTGTTTTACTTCAAATAAACTTAAAGACAATATCTGAAACTGAGTAATAGGTATGATTATGGAAAATTTACTGTTTATCTAAACAGAAAGATGTTGGCATGTACAACTAAATTTCATTAAATCCCTACATATTGTTATTTCACTTATTTTTAAAACATAGATATTACATGGCATAATTTTTTTTTATCCAATATCAGCATATACACCCAATCTTCTCTCTAAAAAAAATCTGATGTGTTTGTTTTGTACTATTGTACAGTTTTTTAATGATTGAACCTTGTATTTCAGTCCGTAAATAAAAGTGGGGTTTGTGCATTTAATGTGAAACAAACTGAATAATCAAATTAGCCTCTAAACAAAGTGTAGTTAAACCCAACCAAACTTATTGCTCCTACTTTGAGAATGACAGATACCGTATTTTCCGGTGTATAAGTCACGTTTTTTTTTTTTGCATAGATTTGTCAGTCCTGAAACGTATACGCCTAATAGACTTACATACTTTTTTTTTCCATATTCATACCACAATTTTTGACTGACACTTTAAATTTCGAAGAACTACAACAGTGAGTCCTCCCATGCACGCTCGCTTCACTCAGCTGGTGCAGGTGGAGGAAAACTGCTCTGGCCACGATGGATGGATGGATGGATGGATGGATGGATGGATGGATGGATGGATGGATGGATGGATGGATGGATGGATGGATGGATGGATGGATGGATGGATGGCACCATGCCACCCAGGCAAAATGAATCTGTTTTGACCATTAAATAAACACAATAAATGCATAATAAACGCATAATAAACACATAATAAACACGACGGGTCAGCAGTGATGCATAATAAATGTGACTTATACGCCGACACGATTTATATATGTCTTTTCCTCTTCATGATGCTTTTTTTTGACTGATGCGACTTATAATCCGGAAAATACGGTAATAGAAAAACAAGCTTTAAACAACAAACAAAATGATATTGTGCTTCAGGATTTCTCTCCCATTTAAAAATTGTTGGATTTCTTTCTTGAATCTGACATTTTCTGATGAGAATGATTAATTTTGATAATGATCAACGCTCTTATAGAGGCATGCTAACATTATCGGTTTTTTAACTTCTTGTCAGTGACAAAAATTAAAGTTTTACAGCTTCTGAATAACATTTATAAAAATTAAAACAAAAAAACTCTGGAAGTTGAATTGAATACAAAGAGAAAACCTTATTTCCACAAAAGTGAAGAGAATTAAAGAGACTCACCTGTCAGGATGAGCAGGAGGAGAAGACCGGCGTGCATCATCTCTGTATGGATCTGCTCTGAGAACGGCTCTGCATCGAGGGATCCACCACCAAAAGTCACAAATCCTCTTCATATGGACAAACATGACCAATAATTAACTTACAGCAGGCGGAGCCTCGCAGACTGTGCTATAAATCAAACCTTGCCTTGGCTCTTTTGGCAGCTAATATTAAGGCAGATTGTTCTAGGAGAGGAGTAATGGAAAAACTGAACTACATGAAAAAAGGCAGATGGAGGACATTCGTCCACTTAGAGTCAGAGATAATGTGACTTTACGGCTTGTTGTCAACGAGAACAATAATAAAGACGTACATGTGACTTGTGCACACAGAGGAGATGAAAGAGCCAGCAGTAAATGAGAAAATCTGATTAAAGTCAAATTTGATCGCTCAATGTGGAAAAGACGGTGAACCCACATGTTCTCATCGTTGTCTCACACTGGGCTGCTGAGCATGAACCTTCCCTACAAAGGTTGCTAGAAACGTTGACTTAATTGTTCTTTAGTTTATGTTTTTCTTAGTACATATCTTAGATCTTATTGGTTTTCTTTTACATTTTATTGTTTGGCGTAACTGGGACCTTGTGTACACAATTTCGTTCCACCACATGTACCACATGTGGTAGAACGACAATAAAGAAACTCTGACTTCCTCCAGGATGTCACAGCTGATTCTCCGTCTACTCATTTGTCGCTTCAACTGTAGCGGTCCTCTTGTTGCAAGTTTCTCATCATGCACAGAGAAAATGGTGTCTGATTAGCCAAACAAGACCCATGTCACCCCATTACTGGTTGATCTACGAAAGGCAGCCAGAATCTGATTCATATTACTAACCCTTATGGGGGCCGTTTGTAAAGTTACAAAGTCAAAAATTAACAGCAATATTTTTGGTTTATTTAGCTTTTCATATGAAAAAAACTGTCTGGTTTTTTCCTAGTCTGATTTTCACCATGTTTTTCATTTCATACATTTATAAATATCATAGTTCCAAACTAAATATTTAATTTACAACCTAAATATGTAGTTTAAAAACCAAATAGTTAACTTGCTAGCTAAATATTTAGTTAGCAAACACTAAATACACACTAAATATTTAGTTTACAAACTAAACGTTTATGTCCAAGCTAAATGTTTAAATTTACAAACTAAATATTTAACTTGTGAACTAAATATTTATGTGTAAATTAAATGTTTAATTTCCATGCTAAATATTTATTTTAAAAACTAAACATTTAATTTCTACGCTAAACATTTACTTCCTAAACTGAATATTTAATTTGCTAACTAAATATTTAGCCCGGACCTAAATATTTATTTTCCAAGCTAAACATTTAATTTCCAAAATAAATATTTAATTTGCTAACTAAATATTTAGCTCAGACCTAAATATTTAACTTGCTAGCTAAATATTTAACTGGCAAGTTAAATATTTAATTTGTAAATTAAACATTTAGTTTGGACATAAACATTAACACTTAGTTTGTAAACTAAATATTTGCATTTATAGGAGCTTATATTACACCATATGCATAATAAACAGGCCGAATGGTCTTTTGTGAATTTTGTTACAAAAAATACTTTGACAAATAATAAAAACAAGCTAAATTAAATTAGTTAGGGATAATTCTAAATTAAATTTTAGCTCAGTATCTATAAAACCGACTAAGTAAAAGCTATTTGTTTGCACAGTATGCGCCCTCTTTGCTTAAAACTTTTAACTGTTAAGCGTCAACCTTGTTAGCAAAATATGTCATGGAACACTGGATAGATTTTAGTCAAACCCTCCTGAAGTAATCACTGGCTGAAGCTGGTCGTCATTTAGAGTCAACCTAATTAAAGATGGCCACCACAGCCAAGACAAAAATCATTGTGACTCAGTCAATATACAGATATGCTAAAGTCAGATGTAGTAGCTGAGAGTCATCCTCCACACACACACTGAGCACGAACATATTTCATTTTGCAATATATCATTAGATCACGTGTCTTTTAAAGTTCAACCAAAATGTCAAATTCTTGACTCAACCAAAGATGACCTTAGTTGAAAATTATGTCATTAATGTACGTCTATTACTGTATATGTCATTTCTTCAAGGATTACCATCCATCTTTACCCATCCATCCATCCATCCATCCATCTTTACCCACTTCTTCCTTTTCAGGTAACAGGGGTCACTGGTGTCCACATCCAGCAGTCACTGTATGAGAAGAAGGGGACACCTTGGACAGGTCTCCAGTCCATCACAGGGACACATGGAGACAAACAACCTTTCACTCTCTCACACCTAGAAACAATTTAGAGTTACCAATCAGACTAACATGCACGTTTTTGATCTGTGAGAGGAAACCAGAGTACTTTGAGAAAACCCACGCATGCACAAAGAGAACATGCAAACTCCACCCAGAAAGGCCCCTGGCCGGGATTTGAGCTGGCAACCTGCTCGCTGAGAGGCGGCAGCTCTACTGATCACGCCACCGTGCCGCTCTGTCAGTAACCAGAGCACCTGAAAAAAAATAAATAAATAAAAAATTACCTGGCAGATTTAAAATATACTAATGTTTTGCAGAAGGATGCTTCTTCTATCAACCAGAAGTCTGCAGCTAATTTTAAACTCCAGATGAAAAAAAAAAGTTGCATTTCTGAAAAGTTCTTAAAAAAGGAAACAAATAACAAAAACGTAATTATTGTTAAATACGTAATTAAATAGAAATAAACAGCAGGAAACCAGTGAGTGTTCGTTTAGTTGCAAAAACTTTATTGTTTAATCCATTTTTGTCATTTTCACTCTAGAAAAGTGGGGTTTGCTGATTCTGTTGATATCGTACTGTGACTGGTACCAGAGAACTCATCTGTTTGCACATTCACGCTGTGATCATGTGACTCTTTGCAGCTTGCTTATAATAGTGCACAAGTCTCGACCTTTACAGGCCAATAGTGTAGGGCGCCGACAACCGAAACATAACGCTACAGAAAGGTATGGTACGGCTTTATGTTTGTGCAGTGGTCCATTATGAAGTCTTTAGGAGGGTGCAGGCTGACCTGGGCTAACATCCTCGCTCTGTTCGCCTCATGCACCGCGAGGTGTCGCCCAGGAGTCAGCGAATAGTGCATCAAATGTAGATATTGTTTCCGAGTCGTTTGTTTGCACAAGTTTGTAAACCTTTTATGAATTTTTCACGTTTTCTTCCACGAACTAATCAACAGCGCAGTGCTCTGCAACAAATGAAAACACACAAAGCTTCAACAGGTGAGATATACGTCAAAGATGTACAAAAGCACAACTAAACAAACGAGAGACGACCGGTGTGGGTAGGAGGTTTTTCTTGCAACTAATCCCTTTTAAATTGGAAACACCAACATGTGAAAACACTTAAAACACGCTTGCAACATGAATATAAGAGGCCGGAGCAAACACGTTGTAGTCCTGGAGCTGCAAAGGAGTAAAAGATGGGGTGGTTTGTTTTATTGCTTCCAGCTGCACTGCGTTAATACTGACGTGCCAAAATGCAGCTGCAGGAGGAGGGGATGGCAACAGTGCGACAAAGTTTGCATTAAATTCCAGCTGAAGTAAAAACGAAGGGGTCATGTACATTCTCCTTCTATGAGCTCATCATCCTATATTCTAGGTGTTTTGATTTTTTTCTTTTTGTGGGGGTCATTTGGCTGCCAATTCTTGGCGTCTGATTTTACATTCAGCACAGGTGCTTCAAAAGCACGGTGGGAATGAGAGGAAAACAAGAAAGCTGCATGCAACATCGAGACTGAAGCTCCCTGATTCCAAGAGAGGGGGTCAGCATGTTTTACTTCGGTAAGTCCGGCGAGAGCTGATGCTTAGCGTCAAAGCATCCGACCACACACAGAAGAAGTTAGTAGTTATAAATCCGATTGCCGATCACAGTAACCCCTGACTGTTTGGCTGCTAATACAGTAGGAAGGAAAAGTCGAGAAGAGGAGCAGCATGGTTTCCTAAAGACACCGTCACAATACTCATTAACCCTACACGTAATAAATAATAAAAATAGCAGTAGGCCGATAAATCCTAAAACAAGTCAGGTTATAGACGTCAAAATAAGGAAAACTTGTGAGATAAAAGTGCACCGATAACGCAGAGGTGATTTGCTTTTATTTCCATTCGAGGAAGATTTCGGGTGTCAGCCGGGGAAACAGAGCAGGCGCCGAAGTGTCCATCTGCTCAGTGAGGACGGATGGCGGCTTTGTGGCGAGGGGGGGGGGGGGGGAGCCCACTCTGGACAGGTTTGGTTTACAGGAGTCTGAGTGAGGCTGTTACACAATGAGTGGTCCACGGCGGGGATGATTAGGGCTCTGGCCATTCCCGTTCTCGGCCCCCTGCTCCTCCAGGTTGATGTTGGAGTTGTGGTGGGGGCGGGGATCCAGAACGGGCCTGTAGCCCCCCAGATACATGAGATCTAAAGAGGGGAAATGGCAGAAAGCAAGAGGACCGTTATTGTGAAAATTCATTGGTTGATCGTCATCACTTGTTCCTGCGACATATGCACCATGATTGTTTGTATCCCTTTGGAATTTATGTAAACAATGCGCTGTTTGTCTGACACTTAGCTAAAATACTTTCAATGACAAAACAGGAGATTGTTTGGTAATATAAATAAAAACTATCTGAAAACTGATCATTTATTTAGTAGGAAAGTCTGAAAAGAAAAAGATTCAAACTACCATATTTTTTTGCCTATAAGTCGCTGCTTTTTGAATAATTTACATGTCCTGCGACTTATACGCCGAATCGACGTATTTATGTTTTTCCTCATATTTATAAAACAATTTTTGGCTGAGATTTGACCGTTTTTATTCATTCTGACTGAAAATATTGAACACTACCATTTTCAGCCGCTAGATGGCACTCGAGTAGAATGGCATGCTGTTGTGTCATGTAATAGGTAAAAGTGGCTATTAATGACACAACTGGCTTGCCACAGACCATCGTCTGCCTGGAGCAACCGTCAAATTAGCTGGAGCAAACAAATAATAGTTTTTAAATGTTAATCTTGTTAAATTCTTGTTAAAGTCCTCCCGTGCACGCTCCCGCGCCCGCCATTTGGCAGCCAATCGATTTTTGGCACAACACCGGCCCACATTTCCAGGTTCAGCCCACATTTCCGAGTTGTCAGCGGTGATGCATAATAGTTGCCACATATACGGCGAAGCTACATTTTTATGGATTTTTCCACATTATTAGAAATATTTGGATTGATGCGACTTATACGGTGGTGCGACGTGTACGGTGTAAAATACGGTAATATGTAGTTTATGTTTGTCATTTACCTTCATTAACCTTATTAAAATCAACAAATCTGATGGCACAATGCAAAACATTTTTTTGTCCTTTCATGCACATTCTAATTTTTATAACCTGCCTTGCTTTATGAGTTGTTTGTAAAACAAAAAACACAGAAAAGAAGTCTGCAAACAAGCATCTGTGTAACCACACAAAATCCAATTAGTGTTACAAAAACTGCTTTAAAACAAAAATCAGCTGAAACTTTTGTAATTATATTTGTGCACAATGAGCATATTTTGTGCATGATTTTATCTGGTTCCATTCTGTTCTGCTGTATTTTACTCTGTGGCGACACCTACAGTTTAGGAGGAGAACTGCAGTCTGTTTTAGTACAACTTGTTGGTGCCAGGACACAGTTCATATCACAGGTTTTACAGGAGGTTACTCACTTTCTGGTTACTTTCATCTTTCAAAGATAATAAAAAACTGTGAAACTATTCATACTAATTGCTCTTATCTGTAAATGCCAACCGGTCAGACATTTTACAACAATGAAAAGTGCATGAAATCTAAATTTTACATTACTCCATATTTTGTCATTTTGTGTACTGTTTTTTTTTAAAGCAAAAACAAGGAAGACTAACCATTAATTATTTCCATTAATCAGTCTCCCATTGTCTAAGTGTGTCCACTCCATAGAAGTTTGTAAAAAGCAACTTCAAATGTTTTTATTTTACTTTAAGTAATCTGATATTTTTGTTGATCAGTATTTTTACTTGGTTTTAAATGTTAGGCTTTGACAGAGATTTTTTTTATTCATTATAATGTTTATTATGTTAATGTTTTTATATTCAGGGATTTATTTTACACCTCTTTGGTCAACTATGACCATTTTAAATGTGCTTTATAAATAAACTTAACTTGATAATTAATTGAAAATGGTGCAAAGTCGTCATAAGAAATGTTAAAATTGAATATTGCTCAACTTCTTTTACCAAAATTCATAAAGTATTTTGGAAACTAAAAACAAATATTTATTTATTTGAAGTGGAAAAGAACTGGTGCACTATAAGGCGCACTTAAAATGCTTTAATTTTCTTAAAAATCGATAGTGAGCCTTATAATCCGGTGCGCTTAATAATCCAAAAAAATACAGTATTTTTTTTTTCCTAGCATGTGGTTGTATTTATGCCATTGTCTGTTAATTAGAAAGAATTTCAACAAATCTCAGAAATTAAATTTACTTGATGAAATATTTACAAAGATGTAACTAAAATCAATCCTAGATAACTATTGCAAACCTATTTTCTTAAATAAATAAAAATTTGTACTAATTATATAAACATTCACAAGAAAATAAGCAATCTTGAAATAAACAGAATGATGACGGGAAGCTAAAATGAGAACATATGGGCAAATTTCTCAGCGTTTCTACTTAAATTACAGAGCTGATTGTATTTTGTCACCCTGAAGTCGGACCCTCCGTCTAACCATGACTCCATACCTAGTCCTCAATGTGCACTGGGCACGACTCCTCATCTGTCCATCCGAAAGAAAGCCAGAGAGTGGAAAAAGATGGTGAGAAGAAGAGACACAGGAAGGAGAAAGAGGAAGATGTTCAGGATAAAACAAAAGAGGATGTGAATAATGATGGACGGATAGCAGAAGGAGAGAAAAAGAGAGATACTGAACTTTTACAACACACAAATAGGAAACATGTCACAAGATTTGGTATAAAAACACCAACTGGGTCAAACGTGGTTTCAAGGGGATGAAGGAGAATCAAGACGTTACAGAAAGAGTCAGAGAAGTGAAAAACACCAAGAAGGAGGCAGAGCTGAAGGCTGTCCACGCTACGTTTTATTGATGTATAACAGCTAAAAAAAAAGTTAGAGGCTGATGAGACAAACTGTCTCTGGAAAAGATGTAAATTAATAAAATGTAATTTTTGGGGGCATTTTTTATGACCAACTTGCCAGTAAAACCATTATTGTGTTTCACTTCATAAATCTTGTTATAGCCCCTGAAATTAATAAAAATACATCACATTGACCACTGTAGGCACTAAGTGAGATTTGTTGCCACCATCTTGCTAGGTGCTACATATATCATTTTATAAATGGAATGGTAAATGGACTGTACTTTTCTATCTAATCAAGATACTCAAAGCGCTTTACCATACAATCTGTGCCCTCATTTACCTCCACACATATTCACACAGCACTCTACTACTCTATAAAGCTAATCTGAATCTGTAGAGACTAATCAGAGCTTTAGATCACATTCATGTGCTGATGGGACACGCATCAGTGTCTTGCCCAAGGACACTTCAGCACGTGACTGCTGGCGGAATCGAACCCCCAACTCTTGGATTAGAGGACAACCACTCAAACCACTCAACCACAGCCACCCCATGTACTATTTACATGTTAATGCTACGCATGTGCATTCTGTATGCAGTGTCATCGGCTTAAAATCGCGTTGAAATATTTTTATTTTACAAAAATAAACAATGCATATTGTGCAAGCAGGGAACAAGAGTACTATGGGGTGCCATTTGTAAAGTTACACAGTCAAATATTAACAGCAATATTTGGGTTTATTTAGCATTTAATAAGGCAAAAAAGGCTTTTTTATCCAAAGTCATATTTTCATCATGTTATTCATACATTTATAAATGTCATTGTTCCAAACTAAGTATTTAATTTGTCTTTCTGGTACCCCATATTCCTGGAGTACCCCCCATAGGGCTCCTCGAGGGACAAGGTCGAACGCTTTCTCCAAGTCCACAAAGCACATGTAGACTGGTTGGACAAACTCCCACGTGCCCTCCAGGACCCTGCTGGTGCTTCTTTGGTGAGTTAAATTTTATTTTCTTATAAAACCATGGACTGTTGCCATGTTCGTAGTAATTAAGGATGCCACATAGCACCTACAAAGATGGCAGCACAAATGCATATCTCATTAGCCTAAACTGAACTATGGTTGGCCATTCCAGTGTTTCTATTTCAGTGGTTATAGCTTTCTTAATGTTAACCAAACTGACAACATGGGGGAAGGTGCTCAATATACAGCAAAGATTTAGAAAAAGTGGTACCAGTGAAGAACCTTCAGCTCTTCTCAGTGACCCACCAACAAGGATTAGAGGAGGAAAGGAGGGTGATGCGAGGGTGAGAAAATGAAGTGCAGATGTTTTGCAAAGCGGCTCAGAGCTGGCAGACACGGAACATGAACACCAATTTTTGGGGATAAACCAAATGGTTTTCACACACGCTCAAAAAGAAGAAAAAACAAGAACAGAAAAGAAATGCATGCAGAAATCACTCGTCAAACGTCCAGTAAGATGCACTCCCACTTAGACAGACACCTTCAGCTGAAAGTAAGAGAAAGGAAACAGTGCACATCTATTTAGTACTAAAGAGAAAATGCAGTGAAGATCCACAACACCAAAGGGGAGGAATGAAAAGAAGAAGGGAAGATCCAGATCTACATGCTCGCTAACTTTTTCTTTTCCAAGTTTAGATTTATTACACAAACAGAAAATCTTTTGGACTCTGGCTGTCGACTCATGCGTCTCTCACTTTTCCTTCCCTCTATCCTCAGCTCTCATTGGTCCATGTTCGACAAGTTGCCACTCACCGGCGAATCGGCTGTTGGAAGCCTGCTCATTATCCAACCCCAAAGAGGGCGTGTCACAGTGGGTGACGCCCTGATTGTTATTGGCCAACTCTGGACACCTGCTCCGCCCACCTGCAAGCGAGGGCAAAGGGTGAGACAAGCAGGGTGAGGCAGGGTGAGAGAGGAAAAGAGAGGGAGGGGGAGGATGGCCATGCTAGAATGGTAATGGTAAAACAAATTGGTAAATTTTTGATTTGTCTCCAAGTTTTATTTGTACCTAATTTAAATTTGGATTAACTAATTAATATTGATGTGTATATTTTGTAAATGTGTTCCATGAGGTGCACAAAAGTATTTAGAGCTGAAAATTAAACTTAAAATGGAAAAAAACATAAAAATTCCGTCAAATTTATGTAGAAATGGAGCATGTATACATGTGGAGCAACAAAGTTTACGGAACAGAGAGGAAAAACATAATTTTTACGAAGAAAACACACTAAAGTGCATCCCTGATTTTCTATAGGAGGTCTGACTCCTAAAAAAATTAAATTATACCAAAAACATTTTTTGTTTTTCTCCATTGGCTCCTTGTCAAATTCAGAATAGAATTTAAAATCTTTCAAAGCTCTCAACAACCTAGTTCCATCTTATATTAAAAATCTTCTTGTTCCTTATTTTCTTTACAGAGCACTTCACTCTCAGACTGCAGGTTTACTTGTGGTTCCTATAGTTTCCAAAAGCAGAATGGGAGGAAGAGCTTTCAGTTATCAGGCTCCTCTCTTGTGGAACCAATGTCCAGTTTCTGTCCTTGAGGCTGACACATTGTCCAGTTTTACGACTATAAGTATGTCCTTTTTGATAAATCCTATAGTTAGGATTGGCTTGGGTTTCCTGAGCTATCCCTTAGTTATGCAGCTATAGGCTTAGACTGCTGGAGGACAAACTGACCTCATTTCCTCACTCTGCTGCTGCCTTTACTTGCTTTAGTCTATCTATTTGTATTTGTAATTATTTCGACCCTTAGCATCCCAGCATCTGTTCATCTACAGCGTGTTTTTTTTTTTTTTTTTTGTCTTTCCTCCTATAGAAAGTACATCCGGACCTGCCATTCTGTGTTTGTTTGTTTCTCCTTCCTGTTCTCTCAAACCTCAGCTGGTTGAAGCAGATAGCTGCCAGTCCTGAGCCTGGTTCTACTGGAGGTTTCTTACTGTTAAAAAGGAGTTTTTCCTTTCCACTGTTGCCTTTGAGCTCGCTCAAGATGGGAGACTGTGACAATTTTTTTTTTTTAATTCAAAATCTTACTTCTAACATACAAAGCTCTCAACAACCTAGCTCCATATTATATTAAAAATCTTCTTGTTCCATATTTTCTTTACAGGGCATTTGCTCGCAGACAGCAGGTTTACTTGTGGTTCCTGGAGTTTCTAAAAGTAGATTGGGAGGCAGAGCCTTTTGTTATCAGGTTCCTCTTTTGTGAAACTAACTTCCAGTTCCTGTCCATGAGGCTGAAACTGTCTCCACTTTCATTTTTGATAAATCCTATACTTATGGTTTGCTTGGGTTGCCTGAGCTATCCTTTAGTTCTATTTCGTATAGGCTTTGCCCTTTAAGGTTGTCACTGGTGGGTTTCATCCCGTCGTGTGCAGCGCAGCACTGAAAACTTTAGTCCACGCCCACCTGCTGTGTGGGCCTCACCCGGTCCATATAAATTACGGTGAGACCGGGTAATCGGCTCCCCATTTTTCTTCAGCAAGCAACCAGCCCTGTTTTCTACAAGAACACGATGTTCAGCACCAGCACCATCCGCCTGTGCCCGTCCTGCAAGACCGGCTACATGCTGAGCTTAGACCGGCACGACATCTGTGAAGGATGCCTGGGTCCCCACCACGCCGACCTCACCTCCTCCTGTCGTCTCTGTGACCTCCTCCCTCCTGAGGAGAGGCAGAGGTGAGCAGCCTTGTTCAAGGCTAACATCAAGGAGTGCCTCTCTGTGACGGGGGACTGTTCGCTGGACGACGCCATCGCCTTTTTTGACGCCGAGTCATGGAGCGAATCAGATGATTCCTCCAGGAAAGGCGATGTCAGCAGCAGCCCCGCTGCTCATTCTCTCCTGGAGAGTGTAGTGATGGAACGGGGCAGCCGAGTGGATGCTCCCCCGCCCCCGCCCGGGGCCATTCCGCATCGGTGAACACACCGCTTCCAGCCGTCGGTGGCCTCCTCTCGGAGCTGCCCGGCATAATCCAAGAGGTGGCTGACACAAAGGGACTTTCCGTCCCTCTCCTCCCCCCCGCCCAGATCGGATGATCTGGCAGGAAAGTTTGGCTCCACCCCGGCTCACCGCCCTGACCCCATCTGGCCTCGTTTCCCAGTAGTGATGTCCTACAGGAACGAGGCTGCAGCCGGACCTGGTAGGCTGAAGGTGCCCGTCTCCACTATCGCTCCCATCACCAGAGTGGAGGGGTTTACTGAGTGGAACTTTCCCTCGGTACCCCCCCAGAGCCAACCCTGGCGGAAGCACTCGGAACAAAAGTGTCCAGATTGGACCAGCGTCCTGTCCCTCCAGGGAGACACAACCAGATGGTGATGTTGCTCTCCAATCGAGCCCACCAGTGTGCCTTCCAGGAGGCTGCAGTGAACAGCGATATCGCCCTGCTGGCCTACAGCATCTCCAAAAGGCTGGAGGACACAGACCTGCCTGAGGAGATGAGGAGCTCGCTCTGCAAAGCGTCTGACATCATCCTCAACCTGTGCGCCTCCTCTGCAGTCTGCCTGTCTCGCATTGCCGCCTGGATGGCAATGATCCACAGGTCCACCTGGCTCCGACACTCCCCCTCCTTGCCGGAGAAACTGCAGAAAGACCTGCTGGAGGGCCCCATCACGACGGACGTGCTGTTCGGGGCCAATTTCAAGGCAATGCTTGAAAAGTCGAAGAAGTCAGAGGAGGTGTCGGAGACAGTGGGCCACCTGTTGAAGCCGCACCTCTCCTCCTGCCCCCCCACCTGCTGGAGAGATTGTCATGGCCAGAGGCAGCAGCAGAGATGCTCCACAGCTGCAGCAGCGACCTCCCGCCTCGCTCTGCTGCCGGCCCCTCCCGCCAGAGAACAGTCCTTCTCATCGCGGCAACCAGCGGCTCAGCGTTTCCCCAGAGACTGCCAACAGGCGCCGCCCTGGAACAACCAGTTGCAGGGCTCACGGGGGAGAAGATACAAGAAATGACTCCTTGCAGAGGATGTGTGTGTGTGTATAATGATGACTTGAGTTTTAGAATAAAGCGAAAACATCATTCAGAGAATAACGTGTCTGATTCCAGCCTGACTGTCAGATCGAATGATCTCACAGTGGCTTCTCTTCACACATCCTCCACACAAATCAAGCCAGTAACCTCAAAACAGGTTTTAAAAGTCACCGCAGCTCGAGAAACCACACAAAATGCTTGCTTGATACAGCAGCTAAAAATGATTTTTTTTTCAGCAGACCGAGCCCAGATAAAAACCTCGCTCTCAGCCCAGGTTGTGTTCTGATTTTTCTGACCGCAGCGGGAACAAACGCGTTTCCCCACGGCAACTACAATCTCCACCCATACGGCGTCGCATTTCTAAAAGCGCTCACGCCTCTCCTCAGTGCGCATCAGCTCACATCAACTCTGATGTGAGCCCGCAGCCTGAGCGCAGCACAGAGGCGTTCCCAGAGCCCTTTCGGTGAGGCCTCTCGATGGGTTGTTCGGAGAGCATCTCCAGAGCATATGACGGCGGTAGAGGCTTTAGCTTGGTTAACGTCTGTAAAGGAGCTGAACACAAAAACGCGTGCCTGCTCCCAGAGCGTTACGCAGAGTGGCAGCGAGTGTGTTCTCTGGGCAGATGGATGAATCGTCTTATCAGCAGAGGTTACACGCTGCAGTTTGCAGCTCAACCCCCACCGTTCAGAGGGATTATAGAGACGGTTCTGTCATCTCCAGAACAGATCTCGTCTCTCCACTCAGAAGTTCAAGAATTACTGATAAAAAATGTAATTTCCAGGGTTCCCAAAAGAGAGGAAAACACAGGGTTTTACTCACGTTACTTCCTGGTTCCGAAGAGGACCGGAGGGATGAGACCCATTTTAGACTTATCCGTATTCAACAATTCGATCATGTCATCACAGTTCCACATGCTGACAACCAGACAGCTGTTGGACAACATTCACCAAATGACTGGTTTACCTCCATAGATCTAAAAGACGCCTATTTTCACATACCCATCATTCCAAAACACAGAAAGTTCATGTGTTTCTCCTTCCAAGGGACCCAGTACCAGTACAACAGGCTCCTGTTCGGCTAATCCCTCGCATCACGCACGTTTTCGAAATGCGTCCTGTTTTATCTGGACGATCTGCTGCTGCTAACCCGATCCAGGCAGGAAGCAGCTGCGCAAACCAAAGCGATGATGTCACACCTGTTAAACCTGGGTTTCGCCATAAACTGGGAGAAGAGTTTGGTTCTCCCGGCCCAGATGATCGTTTATCTGGGAGTGGAGCTAAACTCTGTCACTTTGAGGGCCCGTTTATCACAGATGAGAGCTGAAGCTCTAAAGGACCAGCTCCGCCGCGTAAAACCCAGAAGGGTAGTAATGGCCGTCTCTATCATGAAACTTTTGGGAACGATGTCGTCAGCTCACGCTGTGGTTCCGCTGGGCTTACTCCACATGAGACACCTTCAGAGATGGTTCACTCGCCTGCGCATAGATCCGGTACGTCAGAAGAGACGGATGATCTCTGTGCCCCCTCCGTGGGAACCGACCTGAAGCACTGGAGAAACCCTCTCACTCTGTCAGAAGGAGTTCCTATCAGCAGACCTATGTCACACATCTCAGTTTTCACAGACGCGTCCCTGTCAGGCTGGGGAGGAACGTGCCTGTCTCAGGCGGTGGGGGCGCTGTGGCCACCTCACACATCAGATCATATAAACATCTTGGAATGTCGCACAGTTTGGAATGTGATTCAGCATTTTGCTCCCCTGTTGCGGAATCAACATGTTCTGATATCCTGATGCATGCTCAACATGTTCTGATCCACACAGACAACAAAGTGACTGCAGCTTACATAAACCGGCAGGGGGGCGTGCGCTCAGCCCAACTGTTATGCATTGCAAGACAGCT